AGAGTTCCAGAAAAACATCTATTTCTGCTTTATTGACTATGCCAAAGGCTTTGACTGTGTGGATCACAATAAACTGTGGAAAATTCTAATAGAGATGGGAACACCAGACCACCTGACCTGCCTCTTGAGAAATCTGTATGCAGGTCAGGAAGCAACAGTTAGAACTGGACATGGAACAACAGACTGATTCCAAATAGGAAAAGGAGTATTTCAAGGCTGTATATTGTCACCCTGCTTATTTAACTTATATGCAGAGTACATCGTGAGAAACGCTGGGCTGGAGGAAGCACAGGCTGGGATCAAGATTGCCGGGAGAAATATCAATAACCTCAGATATGCAGGTGACATCAACCTTATGGAAGAAAGTGAAGAAGAACTAAAAGAGCCTCTTGATGAAGGTGAAAGAGGAGAATAAAAAGTTGGCTTAAAGCTCAACTCAGAAAACTAAGATCATGGCATCTGGTTCCATCACTTCATGGCAAATCGATGGGGAAACAGTGGAAACAGTCGCCGACTTTCTTTTTCTGGGCTCCAAAATCACTGCAGATGGTGACTGCAGCCATGAAATTAAAAGACGCTTACTCCTTGGAAGGAAAGTTATGACCAACCTAGACAGCATATTGAAAAGCAGAGACATCAAATTTGTCAACAAAGGTCCGTCTAGTCAAGGCTATGGTTTTTCCAGTGGTCATGTATGGATGTGAGAGTTGGACTATAAAGAAAGCTGAGCGCTGAAGAATTGATGTTTTTGCACTGTGGTGTTGGAGAAGACTCTTGAGAGTCCCTTGGACTGCAAGGAGATCCTACCAGTCCATCCTAAGGGAAATCAGTCCTGAATATTCATTGGAAGGACTGATGCTGAAACTGAAGCTCCAGTACTTTGGCCACCTGATGTGAAGAGCTGACTCATTCGAAAAGATCCTGATGCTGGGAAATATTGAGGGCAGGAGGAGAAGGGGACGACAGAGGATGAGATGGTTGGATGGCATCACTGACTCAATGGACATGGGTTTGGGTGAACTCCAGGAGTTGGTGATGGACAGGGAGGCCTGGCATGCTGTGGTTCATTGGGTCACAAAGAGTCAGACACAACTGAGTGACTGAACGGAACAGTTTTCTTTATAAAGAACTTACAACTAAGTTATTAGAAGACAACTCAATGTAATCCATCACATCAATGGGTTTTCCTAGTTGCTCAGTGGTAAAGAATCCACCTGCAATGCTGGAGACACAGGAGACTCAGATTTGATCCCTGCGTCAGGAATATCCCCTAGAGGAGAGCATGGTAACCCACTTCAGTATCCTTGCCTGGAAAATTCCATGGACAGAGGAGCCTGGCGAGCTACAGTCCATGGGTTCACAAAGAGTCGAATACAACTGAAGTGACTAAGCATGCATGCATGCATCACATTAATAGCCTAAAGAAGAAAATGCCATATGTTCATATCAATAGATGCAGGAAAAAAAGCATTTTACAAAATCCATTACCCCCCCAAAAAAAGAAAAACAAACAGTAAATGAGTGATGAAAGGGAGCTTTCTCAAGTTGATAAAAAATATCTACATAAAAAACCTCACAAATAACATTCTTTTTTTAGTATTGAAGTATAGTTGGTTAACAGTTGTGTCTTATTTGCGTGTGTACAGCAAATTGACTCAGTTATACATAGACATGTGTCTATATTCTTTTTCAAATTCTGTTCCCAATTAGGTTGTTACAGAATATTGAGCAGAGTTCCCTGTACTATACAGTAGGTCCTTGTTTGTTATCCATTTTAAATGTAGCTTGAAGCTTTCTCATTAAGATCAGAAACCAGGCTAGGCTAACCCTTCTCATCCCTCTTTCTCAACATTGTATAAGAAGACCTAGGTAATGTAATAAGACAGAAAAAGGAGTTGAAAGCTATACAGATTGGGAAGGAAGAACTAAAACTGCCTTTTAGTTCACAGGTGACATGATTGCAGAAAATCTGAGTCAATTAAAGAAAAAACCTCATGGAACTAGTAAGCTATTATAATAAGGTTTCAGGATACAGGTTACTAAACAAAAGTCAGTTGCTTTTCTCTATGCATGCCCAGTCACTCAGTCATGTCTAACTCTTTGCAACCCCATGGACTGTAGTCCGCCAGAGTCCTCTGTTCATTTGACTTTTCAGGCAAGAATACTCGAGTGGGTGGTCATTTCCTCCTCCAAGGGATCTTCCTGACCCAGGGATCAAACTGACGTCTCTTGGGTCTCCTGCATGGCAGGCAGATTCTTTACCATTGAGCCACCTGGGAATATAATAGTGAGAAATGGAATTTAAAATTAAATGCAAAATACCATTTACATTAACACCCAACAAAAATGAAGTACTTAGGTATAAATCAAACAATATAGTTACAGATCTCTAAGAGAACTGCAAAACTCTGGTGAAAGATATCAAAGGAGAATTAAATGGAGCAATGATTCTGTGTTAATGCATGGGAAGACTCAATATTGTCATGTTGACAGTTTTTCCCAACTTGATCTAGAGATTCAGTCAAAATCTCAGCAAGTTATTTTGTGGATATTGACAGACATATTGATTCAAAGTTTATATGAAAAGAGAAAAGACCCATAATGACTAGTGTGGTATTGAAGGAACAGAACAAAGAAGACAGACACTACCCGACTTCAAGACTTACTACAATGGTGCAATAATCAAGAGAGTTTATTGACAAAGCTAGACAAATAGATCAATGGAACAGGAAAGAGAGCCCAGAAACAGCCCCACATAAATATAGTAAGCTCATCTTTGACAAAGGAACAGAGGCAATACAACTCAGAATAAATAGTCTTTTTTAAAGAATGTAACTGAAAAATCGGACATCCATAAATTTAAAAAAATAAATCTAGATACAGATTTTATATACTTCACAAAAATTAACTCAAAATGGTTACAGACCTAAATGTAAAAGGCAAAACTATAAAACTCATAGAAGATAACATAGGAAAACATCCCTAAAGTGACCTTAGGTTTGGCAGTGACCTTTTAGTTACAAGAAAAAAGATATGATCTGTAAAAGAAAGAATTAATAAGCTAGACCTCATAATAATAAAAATGTCTGCTCTGCAAAATATGCTATCAAAGATACCAAAATGAAAAGCCACTGACTGGAAGAAAATATTTGCAAAAGACATATCTAATAAAGAACTATTACCCAAAATAAAGAACTCTTTAAATTCAACAGTAAGGAAAACAAACCATTTGAAACCTGGGCCAATGATATGAGCATACAACTTACCAATGGCAATACACTGAAGGTAGATAAGCATGTGAAAAAATGCTCCACATCATATGTTATCAAGGAAATTAAAATTAAAACAACAGTAAGATAGCACTATGCATCTCCTAATAGATGGCCACAATCCAGAGCATTGACAATGCTGGATGCTAATGAGGATGTGGACAATAGGAACTGGTGTGAATGCAGTTGCTAGTGAGATTGCATTGCTGATGGAATTGAAAGATGGTACTACTGCTTTGGAAAACAGTTGGTCATTTGATGGGTTTTTTTCCCAATGCTTAACATATTCTTACCACACAGTGTGGCAGATTGCCGTCCATATTTACCCAAATGAGTTGAAAACTCATATTTACACAAAAATGTGCATGTAAGTTTTTATGGCAACTTTGTTCATCATTCCCAAAACTTGGAAGCAACCAAGGTGTTCTTCAGTAGCTGAATGGGTAAACTGTGGTATTGAGTTGGCCAAAAAGTTGTTAGAATTTTTCCAGACAATGGAATATTATTTAGCACTAAAAAGAAATGAGCTATCAGGTCATGAAAAGACATGATTGAACCTTAGATGTATAGTACTGAGTGAAATAATCTAATCTCACAAGACTATATGCTGTATCATTCCAACTATATGACATTCTGGAAAATGTAAAACCATGGAGACAATAAAAAGATCAGTGGCTTCCAAGGGTTGTGAGTAGAAAGAGACAAATAGGTAGACCGCAGAGGATTTGGGGGCCAGTTAACATCCTCTGTATGAAGCAGTAATGCTGGATGTCATTATACATTTGTTCAAACCTATAGAATGTACAACGCTATGGATGACCCCTAATGTAAACAGTGAACATTAGGTTATGATAACGTATCATTACAGGTTCCTGTATAATGAAGGTACCACTGTGGTAGAGGATGTTGATAATGTGAGAGGCTGTGTGTGTGTGGCAGTGGGGAGGGGGATATAAGGGATATCTCTGTATTTTCTGCGCAATTCTGTGAACTAAAATTACTCTGACAATCTATTTAAAAATATAAGATTTTCCAGCAGATAATAATTCCTTCTCTAATGTATTTTTATAGATAATTGTATTTCTGATCTTCCATAGAATGACCATTTTCTCCCTAGAGCTTTGTTTCATGTATAAAATGCTGCACGATATGCCAGATATATATTTTCCCTTTATTACAATAATTTTTATTTCTATATTTCTTTTTACTTCTCTACATCTGCATTGGTCAAACTTTACTATGGAGATCATTTTAATTTTGTTTACTTTTTTTCCTGAGATCATTATTTAGTATATTTTATGTTCTTTTATTGTCTCAAGGGTACATTTTATATTTACTTGTAATTAACTACCATTACAAAATTGGAACTGACGATAATCCAAGTTATTCCTGAAATGTCTTTAAAAATAATTTTGTTTCCTGGCTAGAAATATAGCAATAGGTAGAAAATTTAAGGTAAAGTAAGAATTATCTGTGAGCTTATGTCATTAATATTTTAACAGTATGTTCCCTGGTGACTCAGATGGTAAAGAATATGCCTGCCAATGCAGGAGGTGTGGGTTTGATCCCTGAGTCAGGCCTGGAGAAGGGAATGGCTATCTACCCCATTTTTCTTCCCTGTAGAATTCCATGGACAGAGGATCCTGGCAGGATCCAGTCCTTGAGGTTGCAAAGAGTCAGACACAACTGAGCAACTAACACTTTCATTTTACTTTTACTTTCCTTTTGCAGTGTTGCAAGCACCACTGACATTATCCAGCACTTATTTTATCTTTGAAATCCCATTACATACTCTGGATCCTAATGACAGGGTCACAAAAACTCAGGTATGTATAGAGAATTGATGCAGTTTACAATTTTTTTTTTCTGGTTATGGTTTTTCACTTATTAAGATGATTATTCTGAAGCCTGTGTTGTAAGAATATGTGTGTGTGTATATATATATGTATATATAGCATATTTCTCATAAGTAATAATCAAACTATATAAACACATATAAAGTCATTTATATGTTTATATTTTAATATAAAACTAAAATATAAAATAATTGAATGGTTATCTGTCTTATACAAATGGAAGCTATGGTTAAAATTCACATGAAATACGTTTCATACAGGTGAGGAAATTGAGAGGTAATAATATAAATTGAAAAAGTCCAGATATATAATACAGTCACTTCTATGATAATCTGCTCTTTTTTTCTTATTAGATATTTCTGCCTTTCTTCTAATTATGAATCCATCTGAAAAGATAAAGACATGCATGAGAAAGAAGCTCAGGATACATTGTAGAAATTTGTATTTGTAGTGCTCCTTTTTTGTCTTCTATATCACTTTTGCTGCATTTGTGAATAGAAGCCTTTATATTGTGAAAGGCACTTTGCCGATGTATAATGTAATTAAGATTAATGATCCTGAGCATGAGGGGTTATCTGAGATTATGCAGGTGGCCCCAGTCTTATCACATGAGAAGTTATAAACAGAGAACTTCTTGACTGTGGTCAGAAGTTGTGATGACAGAAGAGAAGTCAGAGAAATGTGATGTTGCTGGTGCAAGGAGGCCACCAGCCAAAGAATACATCTGAACTGAGAATGGCAGGAAAACAGATTCTTCTCTAGAGCCTCTGGAAAGTATCATAGTTCTTCTATGATTTTAGTCTTGTGATTTTAGTCTTCTTGATTTTAGTCCAGTGATATTTGCATTGACCTTCTAATCAATAAGACTCTAATGTGACACATTTGTGTTGTTTTAAACCACTGTTTGTGGTAATTTGTTGTGGAAGCAATAGAAAACCTAACGTAAGCTATTTTAGCATCACACAGAAGTAGCTATAACTATTAGAGAATATTGAAATAAGAATTGGTTAAAATTGGTTGCTTCTGGGAAGCAGGACTGTTGATGAGGAAGAGTTGAGTGGGCCAACTTTTTGATAAGTATATTTTCACTATTTATATGCACATGTATCATTATGATGAATTTATAAAGAAAAATAACACAATACTACATATACTTGGAGAAGGAAATGGCAGCCTACTCCGGTGTTCTTGCCTGGTATATCCCATGGACAGAGGAGCCTGGGGGCCTGCAGTCCGTGGGGTCATGAGAGTCGGACATGACTTAGCGACTAAACCACCACATATACTAAATTAATTAACCAATGTTTCTCCCTTGATGAATGGATCAGTTCTATTATTTAGGATAGGATATAGAAAGAAGTGGATTGCATTTTGGAGATACCATTTCCTCAAATTCAGAATGAGAAAAATGAGGCATTCACATAACTTGTATGATACCATGCCCACCTTCTGTGTTAAGAAAAGAAAAAAAAGACGTTTTCTTGACAAGGTGCAAAGGAACTTCCTTACAGAGTACACAAATATTAGAACTAAATAGATGTCTCAGTGTATACAGACATCTGGGAATAAAATTGACTCATTTTAAAAATCCTGATTATTTTAAATCAATCATGCTTTGAAAGAAACAAAGTATGCCATTTTATTGTGGTAATGATTACATGGATCATTCTACACTCTTCAAATTTTGAAGAACAGGGTTTTTAAAAACCTGGTTGAAGGTTTTATTTTCATAATGACTAACACTGGAAAGTCATGTACATAGCTCCCAGATTCACAGAAACTTCACAAAGACAGTGCAGAGAGGTTTGGCATATACTTTACACAACTTTCCCTAGTGTTAACACCTTATACAACCAGAAAACATTTTCTTAACACTAACAAATTAGCATTAGTAAAATATTAGCTAAACAACAGACTCTATTCAGATTTCACCAGTTACTCACTAAGGGTCTTTTACTGCCCAGGGTCCAATCCAGCATACCATGTGGCATTTAGTCTCTTCTATTACATGATGGGTTCTCAGCGTTGCTAATATTTTATGACCTTGTTAATTTTAAAGAATACTGATCTGGTAGTTTTTTTCAGAATGTTATTTAATTTTGGTTTGTCTCATATTTTTCACCTGACTTGTCTCCGTTCTTATTTTCTATGGACTTTGGGGAAGAATGTCACATAGGTGAAATATTCATTTTGTCACATCATGTGAAAGGAGTACATGTTATCAATAAACACACTGTGTTTATTGTAAAGCTGGAGAAGCTATTTTTCCCCTTTGTACACTCTATACTGTGGAAGTGAGTCATCAATTTCAGCCCACACTCAAGGGGTGGGGGTCAAGCTCCACCTTCTGGAGGGGACATTTACATGTATTATTTGAAATTTTTCTGTAATAAAGGTTATTCCCTTCCTCCCTCCCTTTATTTATTTATTTGTCAGTATGAACCCACATATATTTATTTCCTATTCTCAGTTTTAATCCAGTGTTCATTTTTGTTTATGCTGCTAAAATTGTTCCAGCTTTGGCTATTAGGACATCTTTTAGATTGACCCTTTGACCTACTCTTGTTCTTATGACTTTTAAACATTTCTCTTACTTTCTGTGACTACAGAATGGTCCAGGGTCACTTTTATTTTAGTTGTTCTAGCTCCTGAGTCAACATTTTCTCCAAGAAACCTCAGTATCTTTTATGGGAAAACGGTATTTAGAAAACAAGGTCTATATACAAGGTGTGCTAGCTGCTTCTGTGGTGTCACATGTTCTAGGTCCTTTTGGCAGATAGCGCCAGGAAATATTTGTATGTGTAAAAATCCATGAGTACACATATATCAGTAGCTTTTCTATCAACCTGCCTATCATCTATTTATATCTACCTTTTCCTGTCTACCTGTCTATCTAAACATGAGTTTTAACTGATAGCTCTTATTCTAATCCTACACCACAAGGTTCATTCCATCTTTCTCCCTTGTTCATTTTTAACTCTTCTCTGACAATGAGAAGTCTGACTCTCTTATTTATAATATATTTACTTATTTTTTAACCCTGGCGTACTTAGTAAAGAAGTTTCAGGAGTTTTAACCTGTACTCTGTTAGAATTATTAGCATATTTTCCAACTAGAGTACAGTGTTTATAAAGAGTATCTTTTTGTCTTTAGCTTTATATAGTTTCCAGTCAAAACACAGTTTTCCAGAATTACATAAGCCATTCTTTACCCAGTACCTTCAGTGAGGTTATTTCATATGTTTGCGATGTAATTTGTCACAGTCTACAATCCATCCTGGGATCCCTAACATCTTGGTTTCTTGCTTTTAATTTTTATATCTTTAAGTTCACTCCTTGCGGTATATAATTGTTTGGGTCTTGGAAATTGTATAGAATGGTTTACCACTTCAGTGCCATATAGAACAGTTTTATCACACTGAAAAATCTGTCTATAACCCCTTGGCAATTGACTACTTCTCCTTCCACCAACATTTGGCAGCAATTGATTTTATTTTTCATCTACAAAATTTTGCATTTCGAGACTGACAGGTAATTTAATTATGCAATGTGTAGAGATTTGCATTCAGCATCTTTCACTTAAAATTAAGTAAATATGTAATACTCACTTATGTTTTTACTTGAATTAATATTTTACTTATTTTATCACTGAATTTTATCCTATTTTATGGCTGTACTGCAGTTTGTTTCTGCATTCATTTGTTGATAGAAATCATGTTTGTTTCGGCTTCCAGGGGTTGGTGATTATGAACAAAGCTGTTGTAAACATTCACATACAGATTTTTGTATAAACATAAATTTTCAATTTACTTAGGAAAATAATTAAGACTAGGTTTACTGGATCATTTGCTAAGTGTATATTTAGCATTATAAGAAGCTGTCAAACTGTCTTCCAACATGACTGTACCAACGTGCATTCTACCATCCTGAATGAAGGTTCTTGTTACCCTGCATCTTTCCTAACTAGCATAGCTCCTTTGAGTACTTTCATAGTTGTTAACAGGCTCTGAACATATTCATGTACCTCTTTGTTTGCCTAACGTTCACTTTTAAAACATTTTTTCTGTGATTACCACTTTTAATTGCTTACTTTGTGTGTAGGACCAACAAGTTGCTATGGCAATACAAACTAAATTTTATATTGCATATTGTAATCTTTATAAATTTCTTCTTTTATTTTTCCTGTGTGAACAGAATCTGGTCTTACATAATACTTCAAGAAAAAATGTAGAGTGGAATTTGGATATTAGAAATACTAATAAACTTTTCAAAGATGGTATATTCAAATTTAGCACACTCAGTGGAACTCTGCAACCAAATGAAGAGTGTAATGTTGCTGTAAATTTCTGTCCAAGTAAGTACTTTTTTCCTGTATTTGTTGTTATTTCTCTACCAGTTTATCATTCACATATTTTATTTTACTATGTATATGAAACTTTATATTATTATATGTACTTAAAACAGTTTTAAGAAATTTCTTACTAAAATTTTGTAGTAACTATCATTATAAATGACTCCCTGTGATCCTTTCCTCCTGGTGTTCGTGCTGTTATATACTCCCCTCCTACATCAAATAAGGTTAATATATGGCTTGTGGGATATTATGGATGTGATGGTGTCTGACCTCTAAGGGTTTATCAGAAAAGGCATTGCAACCCCTGACTTACATGGATTGCTCGCTTTGGGGAAAGCTGGCCAGAATGTCTGTTTATCTATATTTCTACTTTCCTGGTTTATTTTTTTAATTGCAAAAATATTCCAGCTTGAACATCTGGAAGTTCACAGTTCACATACTGTTGAAGTCTGGCTTGGGGAGTTTTGAGCATTATTTTTCTAGCGTGTGAGATGAATGCAGTTGTGCACTATTTTAAGCATTCTTTGGCACTGCCTTTCTTTGGGAAGATTATTCTAGTTATTTTGGGGAAGGGAAGTTATTATATTTCCAGGAATTGGGCCACCACCCACTCCTTGGTCTTTGACAGTTCCTTGGAAATATGGAGCTTCTGGGTGTGTCGTTTAGCTTGCTGATTGAGGATCAAGGTCTAGTCTTGTCTGCCATCTTGGTCCCATTTGATTCTAATCCATTTATGTTGTATCCTTGAGCTATGTCACTCTTTCAGAAGTTGTGCCCTGCCCCTTTCCCTTCTGTTACAATACTATAGTGTATCTTTAAACATCTGCTAAAATGGTAGCTCTCATATTAACTGTTCTTACTTTTTTTTTTAATGTGGGAACAAGAGGTATCTCTCTGCATCCATGTATTTCAAATAATTCAAAATTAGTCTAGTCTTTTTTTTTTTAATTGGAACCAAAACTGTTAGAAGAAAATGGTTTCCTTTTGGACAAGTTACAATAGTATTGATACCATTTCGCTTTTTGGCTCAAACTCTGTTTTTCTATCCACCCTTTGCCCCAGACTGAATACGTTTGTCCTAAATCAGATCCATTCTCTATCTTTTTAACATCACCCCCTTCTTATGTGCAAGCCAAAATTCCAATCATATTATTAAAGTAACTTCTCATCCCCAGGTCACAGGGCTTTGGGCAGAGGGATTAATAAGCAGCAAAGAAAGCAACTTGTTTGCTTTTCCCAGCCTCTTGAAGGTTGTGAGTCTTTAACTGACTTAGTATTTCTTCTAACTATACCTGGTGACATCTTGTCTTTGTTCTTTGTGCTATCCTGTAGTATCTGCTCTTTTATTCTAGTAGGCATTGGTGATTGATTATACTTTTGTTTGGCCATTTTCTCTTTTGTAATCTGACTGTGGTATAAGCCTTTTATTTCAAACCATAATCAGTGCTTTTATGTCTCCTTCAATTTCCTTTGCCTTGTAGATTCAAGCTTTGCCATCAATATCGCTTAAAGAAGGGCAATTATGCTTTATCTCCACCTTGGCTAGACTCTGTTATCCTGGTCACCAAGCCGGGTTGCCTTATCCTCTCAGGGTTTTCAGGAGTTTGACTGAGGTGATTTTGTTTTTCACTCCCCCTGTATTGTTCTCCCTTGGACTTCCACAAAAAATAAAGGTGGAACTGTGATGGTATCTCTTGGTGGTTTAATCACTAAGTCGTGTCCAGTTCTTACAACCCCATGGTCTATAGTCCACCAGGCTCCTCTGTCCATGGGATTTTCCAGGCAGAAATACTGGAGTGGGTTGCCATTTCGTTCTCCAGGGGATCTTCCCAACCCAGAGATTGAACATGGGTCTCCTGCATTGAAGGCAGATTCTTTACCATCTGAATCACAGGGAGGCCCTGTGATAGTATCTGTTATCCACACGGATATCTAGGCAAATCACCAGTCCCTTCTGAGTCTGAACCATTGTTCCTGAATCTAATTTGTATGGCTAGACTCTCACTCCCTGTGGATAAGGTTGTTCTTAGTTCTCCTGTGAATACCCTCAATGTTTAGTGAGCCTGACACCCAGGATGGACACATCTTAGAAAATTCTCAACAGGAGAATCCCTGTTACATTACCACTGAATTTTTCAGATAATGAGCTTTAGGAACTGAGGGTACTGACATCTAATTTCTTTTTAGCAGACAGGAGCACAGAACAGAAGGAAGGTGTTTGAAAAATATCTATAGTGGTTTCTTTCCTCTTTTGCAAGAAGTCTATACTAGTATTTGTCCCTAGTTGGCAGCATCTGCTTAAATACCTTTATAGTTTATATACCACAGTCTGAAGCACACCACATGTTATTTCCATAATATTTTTCTAAGTAAAGGGGTATTATAGTAACCTATGTTTTTCTCCCTAATCATTCTTACTTATGAAGCAGTGTTAGGATTATAGGCTCTTGTATATGCTGTTTGGGTCTATCCAGATTCCCACTGATGGGCTTTTCCATCCCTCTCTCAGTTGTGAGTGTTTGTTCGCTTCTCCAGGGTATTGCCCTTGGCTAGAGGAAGATGCCTCATGCACAGATACCTAGGAAATTAAGTCTAACCAACACACTAGTGTTGGTTACTATCAGCTTACCCAACCCACTCCCTCCTCCCCGCACCCCATCTGACCCCATGAGATCAGGTTGAGTCTGTATTCTAAAACTACCCCTTCTCATAGCTTCTTGCCCTTCCCTATTCTGCTTCCCTCCTTTACCCACAGGTTGCTCCTGAGAGCTCTCCCTCAGTAAATCACTTGCATTGGGATCTCTCAGACACTGCCATATTTTACACTACTGGCAGTCTAATACCCGTTATTAGCTATGTTAACAGTAGAAAAGGCAGTCTAAGAACCTGTTACCACTTCTAAGGTCTTGAGAATTCATTAAGCTGTGTGTTCGCTCTCAGTAATATTCTGTAAGATAGTGTTGCAGTAAATCTACATCCAGCATACCTTTTATTCTGGCCTTGTATATTCAATGTAGATTTATAGGTGAGAGAGAATACATCAGATACTGTGATTAGTAGACTTTAACAGTCTTTTTATTTTTTATTCCTTCTGTTTAGAACTCTGAAAATATGATAGAAAGCATCAAATATTTCCTGCAATCTAAAGTTTACTTTGTAAAACTTATTAGGTCTTGTTGGATATTTCTGTGAATTTCTTCTTAGTTTCTAATGTGTCTTGGTACTAAAAGAAATAGCATAAAAACTAGTCCAGCCAAAGCTACCATCTGTATTTCTGTTCAGAGCTTTTCCTTTATGTCCCTAATGAACATTTATATCCAGATGAAGTGGCCTGGATCATTTAGATGGAAATAAGAAAAATTTCCATTTGACTTTTTTTTCAGTGTGGGACTGAGCCCATGCAGTCAAACCTGTTGGTTCCCTCCACAAGATACACTCCTAACTCTTAAAAAATTTAAGCATGCCTATAACACTTTTAAATAACTTACCTCTCAGATGAGAGAGAAGGCATACCTGGGCTTAAAAACATGTATTATTGAAGCCACAGTAGTCTTAGATTATATAAGGAGCCTCATTCTCCATTATCCCAGAAACCTTTAAATTTTCTGAAACCCAGAAATAAACTCAAAGCAGCTCATTCAAAATTCAGAATTCAGTAAGTTTTTGAATTCTAAAATAGAACATTGAGTTCACACTCACAGGATCATACTTTTCTGCCTATGAGATTTACATTTGGAGATTTGAATCTTGAAAGACATTGGCACCTGCAGTGGTGGCACCTGTTGTCTGAGCCCAGCCTGCTGCCTCTGTGCTGAGCCCTCTTCTCCAGCACAAACTGCCTTTCCTCCTGTGAGTTGCCACCTGGTAATTTCCTATCTTTTCCTACCAGATGAGATTAGCCAGTCAACCCTAACAGCCTTTCATAAACCTAAAAATCTGAGAGAAAGCTTGTTCGTTTCCTCTCAGCATATCCTTTTCTCAGTAGACCCCTAAGATCCTTATGGCAGTTATCTGACCTCATCTTCATACTGCCTATACTAAAGTGATGGGTAGCTCCCGTTAAGGCACAGAAAGCAATTAAAAATAGAAGTCCTGTTGTACTTTGTCCCCAAGGTATATGTATTTTCCCATAATAATGAAAATCTGTTTTAAGGGAACATGCTCTAATTGTACACACAGTGTTCTTTAAAAGAGTTAAATTTCCATGACACCTCATTACATGTCTTAAGTTCCTTAGCAGGGTAAATTCAGTTTCCAGGCAATCTATTCGGCTCCACTAAACCATAACTTCATAGTACATCTTAATATTTAGTAAGATTTAAATTATATAAAATTTTTACTGTGTGTGCACTAATCTAAAATACTTTAAAAACATTTTTCTTTCATTAGAACAGCCTGGAGAATACACAGCTGATATCCCTATGCATTTAAATGATAATCCATTTTGCTATCGAATGTTACATCTGCTTGGAGAGATAAAATCACCTAAGTTATTATTTGCTCCTCCTTTCGTATGTTTTACTCCTGTTCCTTTGGATGTACCAGCTGTGATGGATGTCAACATTTTACCTCAGAACTATTTCAGGTAAACACCTAATGTGAATTTACCACATCTTCTTCAAGTACTTTTTTGTTTCTGTCTGCGTTATATGAGTCATGAGCAATGTCTGACTGTTTCTATAGATGGGTGAACTTTTAAAATATTTAACTGTACATTTAAATTAAAAATACCCCCCAAGAGCTCATTTAGTTATCTCAGTTTTTAAATTTTCTTATAAAAATTTTTGATATGTCTAATTTTGTGACTTAAGATGCAAGCTTAAAACTTCAGTGTATTACTTTTCTTTTATTCCATGACCAATTACAGATCTAATGCCTTTTAAAACATGAATTTGTTCTCAAGTTTCATTGGTGTTGAGTAGTCCAGGTTAGTTTAGTGTTCACTGCTCAAGATCTCAGTAGGCAGAAATCAGGGTGTGGACTAGAGCAGCACATCATCTGTGACTCAGTACTCCTCCAAATTGGCAGAATTAATCCTTGTAGTTGTAGGACTCAGACATCATTTTTTTTTTGCTCGCTGTTTGCTTGGGCAACTCTCCGCTCTTATGGGCCACCCTCAAGTCTTAGAGATGTGGTTCTCTTCTTACAACGTGGTATTTAACTCATTCAAAGTCAGAAGCACACCATCTCTTTGACTTTTGTCTCTCACCTGATTAAATTTGATTCACCCATGATTGCATCCCCTTTGCTTACTCAAATTCCATTAGTTAGGGATCTTCATTACATATGGAAGGTCCCTTTACTATTGCCATATAACATAACTTAATCATCAAAGTAGTGTCTCATCATATTTATAATATAAATATATTTATATTTATATTCATCTGCCACCCAAGGAATGGGAATTATGCAGTTTATACACCAAGGAACAGGACTCTTGGTGGCCATCATAGAATTCTACCTATCATAGTGCACATGCTATAGAGAAATGTTACCTGTTGGCATTTTTAAAATATTGATAAGCAGCTCAAGCCCCAGTACTCTATTGGACTAGATACATTATGAGTCCTCACATTACAAAACAGACAGAGCCTGTATGTGTGTGTGTATAAAACTGTTGGAATACTGAGAAGCCTGAGAGGTCTCTAAAGGACTGAGAGCAAACCAAAACATACATACTTATAAGCTGAAACCAGAGTAGGAGTGGTGAACTGGATCAACATACCAAATGCAGGCTTGTTTCTAAATCTTAAGACAATTTCAAGATAGGAAAACTTGATCTCAGATCCCTGGATTAATCCAGGGACACTGGAAGAGGCTAAAATGATTCCATGTCAGTAAGTCCTTCTATCTTTCAGTAGGAACAAGCAAATCTTCTCTAGATCAGTGGTTCTTAAACTTTGAGATATGTGTGTGTGTGTGTGTGTGTGTGTGTGTGTGTATATATATATATAAAACCTCTGCTTTTGAAAAATCCATCCGAAAATTCTGAGATATATATTTTCGGATGGATTTTTCAAAACCAGAGGTTATTAGATCCTATGTCTAGAATTTATGATTCAGTAAGCCTGGAATGGGATATAATAATTCATATTCCTAATAAGTTTCCAAATGATATTGATACTCCTGTTCATAAAATGAACAGGAATTTCTACTCAAAATGAAGCCATCCTCAATTTTGGCCTATATTTCAGTTTTCATAGATTGCTAACAGCCAGACAGGAGCACAGTGTCAAGCATTACAAAACTCACCAGGAGGGAAGACACCATAACTTAGAGTCTTAAGATTTAGACTCTTTAAGTAATTCAGATATTGGATTTATCAGATATAAAGTATAAATATTTTGTTAAAAAATAAAAGATGGCATTATAAAAATTAGTTATTAACATGGGATTGTATAATGTAGATTGGAAAATGAACCAAATATATCTTTTAGAAATTTTAAAATAAAGCATGTAAGGTTAAATTTTAAGGGCATCCATTAAACCTAAACACAGAAACAAGCAAAACTTCAGTTAACTTTACAGGAGAAGCACACTTTTTAAATGAAGGTGAAACCAAAACAAAAATGATGGCAAAAACTCAAAATAGTTGAGTAATGCAGTGGAATGTAAATAAACTGACCAGTTAAAAGGCAGAGGCTCTTAGAGTAAATAAGAAAAAATTCCAACTTCCTATTTTAAAAAGTATGTATGAAATGTAAGGACAAAAAAGATTAAAATAAAGTGGGTTTTCTCAACTTCAGAACTGTTGATATTTTGAGGATAATAATTCCTTTTTTTTAATTAAAGTCTATCCTATACTTTGTAGGATATTAAGTAGCCTCCCCCTCTAATCCTGCAGTTGTGAAAGAAAAAAAAATAATAGAATGTCTCCACACATTGCTACATTTCTCCTTGGGAGCAAAACCATTCCTAGTTTGAGAACTATCAAGTTAAAATATTGATTTACATTACATTAAAATAGTTATTATGGTCATTTCCATAGATGCAGAAAAAAAAGCATTTGACAAAATTCAAAAATAATTTATCATAAAACTCTTAAACAGTAATAAAAGAGAAGTTATTTAAGTTGGCAAAGTTTTCTGTCATAAACCTAGAGGAGACATTATTATGGATACTGGAATATAAATAAATTGCCTTTAAATAAAATAAAAAAGGCAAGAATGCCTATTATCACTGTCTCTCTAACACGTTTTACTAGAGAACCTAGTCCATGCCAGAAGTTAAGAGAAATAAAATATGTGAGGATAGAAAAATTAGCTTCAGAACCAGCATTAGCTGTTGATTAGGAGATTTTCCATATAGGAAATGAAAAGAATGTATATGCAGATATTTAAAGCTATGAAGATCATTTATCAAGATAAACAAATGTAAGTCCAGCATTTAAAGTTCAGTAGTATTTCAGCACACAACATTTAGAGCATGCAACTGTAAAACTACTGTCCTTAAAAACGTTAACAATTGAAGTAATAGGAAGAATTGTACGTGACTATATGGAGAAAATTATAAATCTTAAATCGAAGAACTCATAAATAAATGAAGATTTAATATTCAGGATTGTAAAAAGCACAGTTCTCCACAAATCAACTTACATTTTTCATGCAACTGCAATAAAAATTCAAATAAGAATTTTCATCAAGATTGATAAGTAAATTCTAAACCTTATATGGAAAAATCAAGGGTCAAGAATAGCCACACCACCCCTGAAGAAGAAGAAGAAGGTGAGAAAGGCTTGTCTGCCCAAATACCAAGAGTGAATCGATGTGACAGTGGTGCAGTGATAGATTAAATGAGCAAAGGAATCCAGTAGACTTGAAAACGGCCCACACATGGACAGATACTGAATATATGACAAAGGCAGTATAGATCTTTGGAGAAAAAAGACTGCTATTCAATAAATGGTGCTGAGATAATTAACTGTATGAAATAGTTCAAACTGGATTCCTGTCTACTTAATACATGAAAATTCATTACACATTGATTAAAAGGCAAAATGTAAGAAAAGAGAAAACAATTTTAATGTCTGTGGGTAGAGAAAGATTTCTTAAACATGACTTAAAATTATGCTAAGAGTAAAATAAATAACTGATGATAATTAATCAGAAAAATATCAAATAGCAGAACTGTTGACAAAAAGTTTCAATAGATATTTCACAGATAAAATAGAAAACACATGAAAAAATATACAGTAATTGACCTCTTTGTAAACTTGAAAGTGAGAATTAGTGACTACAGCAAGATATCATTTTGTTTGTCCTAGATAGGCAATCGTTAGGAAGTCGGGCTACCAGTTAGAGTGTCAGTGAGTAAGAACACAGTAGATAATACTATGTAAGGTGTAATATCTGCATATTTCACAGCCCAACATTTCCACTTCACAGTATATACAAGAAAAAATGCATCAGGGAAATGCAAACTAAACCACAATGAGGTATCACCTCACACTTATCAGAATGGCTGTTGTCACAAAGGCAATGAATAATAAATGTTGCCGAGGATATGGAGAAAAGGGAACTCCAGTTCACTGTTGGTGGGACTGGACATTGCTGCAGCCACTATGGCACACGGCATGACGGGTCCTCAAAACATTGAAAAGAGAGCTATCATACGGTCCAGTAATTCCACATCTGGGTATATATCCAAAGAAAACAAAGACGCTGATTCAAAAAGATACACACACCCCAGTGTTCATAGCAACATTATTTATAATAGCCAAGGTATGGGAACAGCCTGAGTGCCCATCGATAGACTAATGGATAAAGAAGATGTGTATATATTCTACATATTCAATGGAATGCTATTTGGCCCTAAAAAAGAATTAAATTTTACCATTCACAGCAAACATGGATGGGCCTGGAAGGTATTATGCTTAGTGAAGTAAGTCAGACAAAGACAGGTACTGTGTGTTTTCACTTATGTGTAGAATCTAAAAAATAAAACAAATGAATATAACAAAAGAGAAACAGATTTATAGATACAGAGGAAAAAAATAGTAATGGGGAAGGGTCAAGATAAGGGAAGCAGATTAAAAGGTACAAACCACTATGTATAAAATAAATAAGCTACAAAGATATATTTTACAACAGGGAATATAACTAATACTTTATAACAACGTAAGTATTGAATCAGTATGCTGTACATCTGAAAAATTATAACATTGAAAATCAACTATACTTAAAAACTCTTGCACATGTGTACTACAAGGTATGTTTGAAATTATTCATAGTTGCATTATTCAGAATAGTGAAATCTGGGAACTACACAAATGTCCAGTGACATGTGAGGGTATAACTAATTTGTGATATATATGCATGTGAATGAATATATCTGTGATGTGGAGGAATTTTAATAAGACAACTGTATTAGGAATCTTAGAAAACAAAATACTGAAATTCATTAAAAGAAAGTCAAAGAAAGCTGCATATATTGATACCCTGTATATAAAATGACAAAAAGGACAATGAAACAAATTTATATTTAAAAATATATGCCTGTCCATAGATATAAAGAAATAGATGTAAAGAGTGATCAGTTGACATGTTAAAAATATATAAATTGTGGGGATTTGTGTACCATTATTTTCGTAAACTACCAAAGCTTAAACCCACCTCAGAGCTTCTCTAGTTCAAAACTTTATCGTGCAGTTAATCATTCTGAGATCCAAAGAAAACAAGTTCCAAGTGTGACGGAAATTAATGAAAATCATCGAAGTTGAAAAGCATAGGATGGCCATTAGCTTCTAACATTTGGCTTACAAGATATGATGAGTGCTTACTTGTGCCTCAGGGAATTGCTCTAAATGCCATTTTGTGAGAGAGTGTAGTTCTTGAACATTAACTTGGCAACTCTGGGATTCACAATTTTTTCAAGATTCGATCTTATAAGTAGATATTAAACTCTGTTGCTTGAATAGGAAATAGAAATGAATTATATTGTGCTAGAAATTACTTTTTTTTTGTCAACAAACATTGTCTCATATATGAATCAATCTTTGGTCTTTCAGCTTTTGAATTAATGCATAATAATATCAATTTTAAAACTACCTCAAGTTAAAATCAGAGTCTTAACATGATATAATGAAATGAACATGTAAAAGGGACTGTAGAGATGATGTAACCTTTTCTTATTATATATGCAATAAAACTAATAGTGTTAATGACTTATCCAAAGACATTTAGTTAATTAGCAACAAATTGGACTCAAACCTGATTTATAAACTCCTTTTTCATGTTTTATCCCATGAACCATATGAGTTTAAACTAGTTGAAGTTGAGAGCTTGTCTTACTTTTTCTAGTTAATTAGCTGAATAATCATTCTAATTAAATTACTAGGGAAATAGGATTCACATTTGATAACATGTCTTATTTGCTATAGGAACCTGCATATATAATAAATCAAAGTAATACATTGAAATATTGACAGCTAAAAGTTATCAGGTATTAAATAAAATTAGAAGTGAATAATAGGGCTTCCCTGGTGGTCCAGTGGTTAAGAATTCGCCTTGCGATATACAGGACACGGGTTTGATCCCTGGTGCCAGAAGATCCCACATGCCGCAGAGCAGTTAAGCCCATGTGCCACAACTACTGAGCCAGTGCACTAGAACCCACGGCTGCAGCTACTGAAGCCTATACACCCAGAGCACATGCTGTGTACAGCAAGAGAAGCCACCACAATGAGAAGCTCACACACCTCATCTGGAGAGGGACTCACACTCTTCACACCTAGAGAAAGCACACACAGCAACCAAGACCGAGCCTAGCTAAAAAAAAATAAATAAATCAACCTTTTATTTATTTATAAATTTTTAATTTATATTTATGTATATTATATATATAAATATAATATATATTTTTTTTTAATTTTTATTTTATTTTACATATTTATATATGTATAATATACATATTTATTATATATAATATATTATATATACATATTTATTATATATAATTTATATATTAAATATATATTTATTTTTATTTCTATATTTTATTTTTATTTTATATTTTGTATTTTTATTTATATATATTATATATTTATTTTCCTTTATATTCATAAATTTTATTTATTTATTTATAAACCTTATATATATTATATAATATTATAAATATATATTATATATATTTATTTTTTATTTATATTTTTATTTTATTTTTATTTTATATTTTATATTTTTATTTATATATATTATATGTTTATTTTTTATTTATATTTATAAATTTTATTTATTTATTTATTTATAAACCTTTTATTTATTTATCCACAAATAAAAAGAAGTGGATACTATATACCATGCTATTAAAAACCACAAACACTTTTAGACTGGCTAAATTATAGTATATAATGAAATATAGTGTATAGTATACTATATAGTATATTAGTATATATAGTATAGTACATCTTAGTATAATTAGGATTAGTATATAGTCTTAGTATAGTATATAGTACATGTAGTATTAATGAAATGTATAGTATATAGTATATCATTAAATATGTGAACATTAATATTAATAGAATATTTTAATGGTAATGATTGAAAAATATTCATGTCATATATGTACAGTACTTAACTGTATGAAGATTAAAAATAGGTATGTGTATTTGTTAATAATACTTAGTCTACATCCAATAAAGCTTTAGCTTTTAAAGGGATGATTTTTAGTAAATTTTTATTAGGACATATTTAAGACAATACTGTTTTTATCATGGCTGTGATTAAAAACACATTGTACTTGATCAGGCATTTAAACCCTCTTTTTTAATCCTGAGAGGACAAAAGGAATTTTTCATCATCTCATGCAGATTATCATATTATCAATTTTATTTATATTGTGACCAGAAAATGAGGAATGATATAAAAATATATTTAGGAGTTGGGCATGTTATTGTAAATATTTGTTTTAATTTTTCTGATTATTCAAAAAACAGAGGAAAGCACATTTAAACCCAATTACTTGCACATACTTTGAGCTAATTTTTTTTTTTTAATTTTAAACAGGAATTCAGCTTTAAGTGTCCGCATATCCCCAGCAAAGCTTCTTGATGGTAATGAGATTCAGCCTCTTTCTGTGAGTTTTCCAAAAGGCAGAGTCATTGTGGGCTCTTCCCTTGGAATTAATGCTTCACTCCCCTGCCGTCTCAGCTTCAAGTCATCTAAATCTGTATCACTTTTCACTCATGTTCTTTTCTGCGATAGCAGAAATAACTGGTAAGACATTTAAATGTAGATTCCTTTGTATCTGACAGTGGAGAATAATAGGTTTATATTCTACATGATTATAAAATGTTAAAAAGAAAGACATCTAAACTAATGACTTTGGACATAACATTTTTTTTTAAGTTCCAAATGCAATGTTGCTTTCATGAGAAACAGTGTGACAGTGGCTGCCAGCATATACTCTGGGGCTAGGCTGCCTGGATTTGAGTACTGGCTCTGTTAACTTTGGTGAAGTTAGGTAATCTTCTGAGTCTCTCAATTCTCACATCTGTAAAATGGGGGTCATAGCAGAACCTGTCTATTCTCTAATAATGAGAAACTTGTTGAGTTGATTATTATTGTGTTATTGTACAGGATCTGGCACAAAGGAAATGCCAGGTTAGTATTTAATGGAAATGAGAAACATCAGTGTAACAAGTTTCCAGACAATATGATTTTTTTACATGTTCCTTTGACAGGTTCAAGGAAATTAAAATACATCTAGGTTAAGCCATGTTTCTGGATATCTTATGATATAGGACCAGAAATTTCACTTTTACATTATACCTTGAGATGATTTGACTTGCCAGATGGCAAACAGTGAATGTATAGAGCAGTGAAGTGTGTTTTAAAAAAAAAAATTCATGGTGTAGAGTGAATTGTATACTAAAAATGAGTATGTACTCCATGTGATAATTTATTAACTTTTCGTGAGGTCATTATATAGTATATTCATAGTCAAAGGATTGATTCATGCATTAAGAATTAAAAGAGTGAGATACAGATGTACTGAAATGTTGCATCCAAGGAAAAGCGTGGCCGGATCCAGGACCCAGCTCATGGAGTTCTGAACTCCAGCTTCCATGTCCCTTTCTCACATATGTTGATGGATAAAATTACCTAAAGTATACCTCTCAGACTATTTTTCTCTTTTAATGCTAGCAGTCCATCTTTTGTTGACATTTAAAAAACAACAGCAGCTTCTTTTAATGGCATTGCTTTAGACTTCTATCAAGAACTGAACTCTTTGCCTCCATCCTGGGATACTTCTGTCTTTTTGTACATTACTGACCTTGTTTATAGAAGTTTAACTTTACTTTGCTCTAGTCCACAAATTTGGATTTTGCCAAAAGCATTAAGTAAGGTGTACCTTTGAGCTCACAAATAAAAATCATGAATAACTTCTCCATGAATACCTTCTCCATAAATACCTTCTTCATTAAAGATAATGAAGGCTCAGACCACATTCACAGGGTGCAGAAGGAAAGAGTTTCAGTAAATGCTGTGTGAACTGGATGACTTCTTGGATGGTGGTACAGTTGCCTCTAAGAGAGGTATGAATAGGTTTCGCTGTTACACTGTGTTGATGTCTAGTCAGCAAACAAGATGTTAGGAGACCTGAAAACAGCCTCTGGAAAGAGGAGAGTCATGTATTTGATGATGATGGTTTTCTTGTCTTTTTGTTGTTGTATGTTTCCTTTCAGCCTTGAGACTCATTTATTCTCCACTAGATTTCCCCACCTTTCTTCCCTTACCTTAAACTCCATTTCAACCTTCAGCAGGTTTGAGATAAGGTAGAGCTTTTGAAACTAATTTAGAAACTTCAAAAATCATAAATGGGCTATAAAAGCGTTGTCCATATACAAAGAAATATTCCTTGGAACCTTAATACTGGCAAATCCTTTTACTAATGCCTTGTAAACTCCTTATCTGGTTTCCCATAGTGCATATGATCAGCTCTTCTGTAAGAGAGCTAACATGAGTCACTGAAAATGAATAAAAGAAATCTAAATGACTTATTTATCAAAAAGATATGTGAATGTGCTATTCAGATATCAGCTGTTTTCTTCTAGAAAGTGGTTCTTTTGTCTGAACACTAGAATCACCTCAGGAGTTTTAAAAACTGCATATGTGTGCATTCTCAGTTGTGTCCAACTCTTCATGACCCCATGGACTGAAGCCTACCAGGCTCTTCTGTCCATGGGATTCTCCAGGCAGGAATACTGAAGTGGGTTGTCATTTCCTTCTCCAAGGAATCTTCCCCACCCAGAGATGGAACCTGTGTCTTCTGCATTGCAGGCAGATTCTTTACTGCTGAGCCTTTAGCCTCCTTCTAACTCAGAGATAATATAATTTTTCTGGAAGGTGGCCTAGGCATTGCAAGTTTTAAAAACTTCCTGATAGCTTATGGTGAACCCTGTTGGATTTGTGATCTCTGAAGAAGATGATTTAGCTTTGGGACAAGGGACCAGGCTTGATTATTCATAGCTTTCATGTGGCAGAAGTTTTATTATAGTGAAAAAGGACAAAGAAAGCTTCTGAGAAAGAAGAGTGCCCCCCTTGCTAGTCTAATCAAGGCACTATATACTTTTACCAGACCCACTCCTACAACATAAGATAACAAGATTAGTCAGAAGGTTTTTGTTAAGAAGGAGAAACATGTCCTGGAGCAAGATACATTGTTGTTATATAATCATTAGTACAGAGCTTAAGGGAAAACATACCCTTGAGCAAGATGAGTTTTGTTGTGTAATCATTAGCTCTGGGCTTAAAGAAAATAATGTCTGATGTGACTAGGACAAAGCAATGTAGGAAAAAAAGTTTGTCCTTTTCTCCTCCTTGAGAGCCCCAGACCCCTTTCTCCTCCTCAGAGACCCTGGACTTCTTATCAGCCTTACCTAAGAATTAACTCTCTCACCCCCATGTGGTTCTAATTGGAAGCCAAAATTGAGAACCCTTGCTCTAGGTTGCAGAGAAGGCAGTGGCACCCCACTCCAGTACTCTTGCCTGGAGAATCCCATGGACGGAGGAGCCTGGGAGGCTGCAGTCCATGGGGTCGCAAAGAGTCAGACACGACTGAGCAACTTCTCTTTCACTTTCCACTTTCATGCATTGGAGAAGGAAATGGCAATCCACTCCAGTGTTCTTGCCTGGAGAATCCCAGGGACAGGGGGAGCCTGGTGGGCTGCCGTCTATGGGGTCGCACAGAGTCGGACACGACTGAAGCGACTTAGCAGCTGCAGCAGCTCTAGATTGTCAAACGTTACCCTGCATTTGACTCACTTGGAGGACTTGTTAAAAGAGTTTCTGAACCTCATCTCCAGAGTTACTGATTTATTTCAGTCTCGAATGGAGCTTGCAAGTGGCGTGTGTACCAGTTTCCCATTTGATGCTGAGGTTGCTGGTCTGAGGACAGAAACTGAGGTTGTTTGACAGCCGGAATTTCAGGTCCACCCTAGATCTAAGAAATCAGTGTGTGTGTGTGTGTGTGTGTGTACCAGGTCATTCATGTGCACAGTAAAGTTTGTGAAGCACTGGATCTGAAAAGAATGAATAAAGGAAAATCCTATTTAGAAAGATTAAACAGTGGGACACTTAAATATTTGTTAGGAAATAAAATTACCACTAGAAAATGGTATTGCTGTGAGATCTCTAGACAAAATGCCCATCTCTCTTTTAGAGTAAGTTTGGTTTAGTTTACTAATACATTATTTAACTTAATCTATTTAAGATACCTATATTTTAAAGTACAATGCGAAATTCATAGTGGAGGAAATTGAAGTGCTACTATGTTTATCTTTTAGACCGTCACCCATTTGTAGAGTGAGAGAAGCAACATTTTGAGATCAAGTCTTGTTATCGCTGTCACACAACTTTTCTTCCCTTTAACTTTTCAAGTTCTAGGATTTTATTGCTGTAACATGATCAGTTTAGTAAGAAACCTGAATAAAATTGGGTTATGATACATCACATAGTGATGTATAATTGATTACATGAATAGGAAGATTTTGATGTTTTAATACAAGTTAAACCACAGGTTTTGTTTTAAATGAGAGGCCATTTAGGAATATACAATAAGAATGACACAGGAACATTTGGTAGATGAGGTTGAACTGAAATGAAGACTACTAGTCAGCTTGTATATCCTCACCAGTGTATAAAATCTTGAAACAATTTTTGGCTGGTTGGTAACCAGGCACTGTCCTAAGTACTCATGCACTATACCTGGCCTGCCCTGATAACTCCTACTGGACCTTGGAGCCAGTCAGGACCTAATAACTAAAGAACTAAATGCTGTCGTAGTCAGAGTTGTAAGCATCTGGTAGTATTTTGTTTTGGGTCCGTCTCAGCGTGTCAATAATGATACTATTGGCTAGGAATCCTGGAGGCAGTCACCTGGTCTCTTAGTACTTATGGTAGCCCCCCACAGACATTTCCTCTTTCAGAACCAATATTGTGGCTGGACCTGCCTTTTTGGTTCTTATTGTGGTCATAAGATATACCTCAGCAGCAGCCATCAGGGAACTTTGAAAAAACAAGGTCTTTTACTCATAGAGTGTACCTGGCTTGCCTAGGGCCGTGCATTGAGATGGGGGGTGGGTGGAGATGGGGAGCAATTGAGCAAAGGTCTGAGTTCTGCCTTTATTAGGATCTCAGGTGGGATACCTAGGGTTTTGTACATTCACTCTTCATTGGTGAATTTAAAACGTAAGTGCGGGAATTAAAGCTCAGGAGAGGAAAAACTAGTGGTCTGTCTGGTCGGTTATCTAGGTCAACCAGAACTTTCTAAGAAGGACAAGTTCATGGGTGCAGCAGCCTGGCTCTGCATCTCTTGGGAGGCTGGCAGTTTATTTATTCCAAATGGATGTCTTGGAAGGGAATGTCTCAACAGTCAACAGTTTAATGTGAGGCATTTACATTACAGTCAGGCAAGCTCATTGTCAGTCCCTTAAACAACATATTAACATACATCTCCCTTTTAGAGTGTATGGTTCATTGATTTTAAAAAATGGACATTTTGAATATCACCCCCATTTTCATATGAATGTGATTGTCTTTCCAAAAAACATAGTTAATGTGGCTCTAAGGACAATAGGCGGAGAAGGCAATGGCACCGCACTCCAGTGTTCTTGCCTGGAAAATCCCATGGATGGTGGAGCCTGGTGGGCTGCCGTCTATGCGGTCGCACAGAGTCGGACACGACTGAAGCGACTTAGCAGCAGCAGCAGCAG